TCTGGCTCGTTGCAAATTACCAATCTGATTAGCCCCACTTCCCGACTCTCGTTCTCCAATTTTTAACAAATGCTCAATTTCTTTTCTTTGGGCACTTTTCAACTCATTGATACGCTTAGAAGATGATGTAATCATATTAATAACACTATCCAAATGAGAAAAAAATGAATTAATATTTGAGACATCCATATCTGCAGAAACCAATGTAAGTTGTAAACGGTGGGCAAAACAATGGACATAGTATGCATATGGACAATCTTTAAGGAATAATGCTTGTAGCCATTCCAAGAACCACGCATATTACTAGCACCGTCATACCCTTGACCTCTCATGTTTTGCACGTGAAGGTTGAAATGAACAAGAACATCAAAAATCTGTTTTTTAAGATTTAATGAGGTGGTGTCATTAATGCTTTTGATGGCAAAGAAACATTCTGTCAAAATTCCATTACTACTCACAAACTTTAAGACAATGGCCATTTGTTTTCGTGAAGATTCATCCCATGCTTCGTCAACAAGAATACTGAACTTCGCATCCCCAACTTTGTCACGGATTCTTTGTCGTACTTTATTGGCCATAATGTTTAAAACCTTTTTTTTAATGTCTGGAGACGTGTAACATTTTTGGGAACATTACCCAAAACAACCTTTCTTACTTCCACATTCATTTTTCCAAATGCATCCACCAGTTCAATGAAATTGCCACAATTCATTGAAGATTGAGATTCGTCATGGCCTCTAAAAGAACATCCTTGAAGTGCTAACCACAGAACACTCTGAATAGTGGTCTTTAGACGCAAATGATTTTTCTGTTTTTCCTCGGCCGATACAGATTGCATTACCTTGTCAATATGTTGAGTTGATTTCATTAGATCTTCAGCTCTTCTCTTATAGCCATTATGATACGATGACAATGTTGTACCAACATGAATAAGGAATGCATATTTACTTCCTTGGTTAACCCTCTTCCAACTGTCAAATCCAACTGTAACCAATGATGAAATAATAGATGGAGCATTATCATTGAGAAAAAAGAAGCAATATAAATATGCTTTATGTGTTGAAGGTGAATATTCCAACCAAGAATACTGATTGTACCAACGCTCCTGAAATTGACGTTTCTACTCTCTACATTCTTTACTCTGATGGTCCAAAAGTTTTGGTTGATAAGATCCAACATTTAGATAGGCTCACCTAATTTGATCACGTTCATTTAATGGATGTTCACATAGTTTCTTTCTTTTTCCTGGGTCCCGTTCAATAGAATCAAGTGGTTCCACATTAAGATTATTAGATAAGATCGTTCAACTTCAGGGGATAAAATTGGATTTAGAGTAGAGGCCGTAGGAATTAGAGTACCCTGATGTTTGTTACTCTTTGAAAAGAAAGATAACAAAGTTCTTCATTTCTTAGAAGAAGGTTGATCTTCCTCCATATTAAATCTAAGAGCATAAATATCAAAAACACTTCAATATCCTATAAATCCTATATAAATTGCTATTGGCTAAATTTCCAAACTAACATTTCCTAAAAAAATGCCTAAATCCTAAAGTACAACTGCAAATTACATAGCATATTATCATTTTAGAAACTTAGTAGTAGCAACTAGAAAGTCTAATTTTTATCAAAACAACTTTTCCAGTTTAGCAACTAGTAGCCCTTCAATTTCAAATCATTCAATGGAGTATAAGTTGTCTAATGTTGCACTGCACGCGCAAGTGAAGGCAGCAAATATACCTCACTGCAGGCCGCAAATGAAGGCTGAAGCCGTGATTCGGTGAAGCATGAATCACAACTGCAGTCTGCACTGCACTGCACACACAAGGGCCAAATCAACCCTAAAAGTTTGAAACAATTACAAAACAACAGTTACAAGGGGGTGTTGACACAACTAAACTAATACCTTACAGTACAAATTAAAAGAAAAAGATTGAGAAACTAATGTCAATGAAAAAGATTTCACGAATTCAAGAATGAGATCTTTGTGCTGTGAAGTAAACATAGTAAAATCATAGAAATCGACTATATCAATATCTGGCATTCTTAGAGCTCAAGCACAAATTGCAATGAAGCTTAAAAACTAAGACTAAGATCTTCCAAATGCAAATGGTAACAAATTTCAACTTATAAAGAAAAAACAAAAAAATTGATTGCAAAGCAGAGGATTATTGCTATCATCTAGGACCAGTTACAAGAGAAAATGTAAGTTTATAGCCTTCTTTTGGACTAATCCATTAAATGATTGTATATCTTAATTCAAAATTCAACTTTATACAAGTTGGGGTGCAAGAATCTTTGTACAGCTGATAATCTTACTCCCCTAATTCCAATCCCAAATCCATTTAACAAAATCCCATTTCCTTTATCCCCAGACCGCAGATGAATCTTTCTTCAGCCCTTGATACACAAAAGAGTTAACACTACGCTAACATACCTCACTATAATGCATATAGAGCAAACATACCTCACTATAATGCATATAGAGCAAATGAACAAACATAGGCACACAATCCCCCCAACCCACAGTGATTGAGGATCACTACAAATCCACATGGTAAACCAATCTCAATTAAAAGAAAAAAAAACCTCCAATGGAACCTGTGATATCTACAGCTCCAAGTTCGTATAAACATTCAGTAAAAAACAAAAAAAAATTACCTTGCCCATAGAAAAGAACTCAATAAGTAGGACAAACGAGTTGTTAAAGGGAGAGAGAGATAACAGAGAGGGACGAAGTCACGAAGGGTTTCGGCTTTCGCTGTTTGAGAGAGAGAGCAGAGAGGGACGATGGGTGTGAGAGAGAGTAGATAGGGTTTCGCCTTTTGGATCAATTGGTGGGAATTGGGTTTAATTTTATGTGGGTTTAGGGTGTGAGAGAGAGAGTAGAGAGGGTGTTGCCTTTTAGGTCAATGGGTGGGAATTGAGTTTAATTTTAGGCGGGTTGCAAAATTGGGCTTTCAATTTTTCAAATGGGCTAGGATTGTGGGCTATTGGTTGGACTTGGACAGTGGACTATTGGGTTGAAAAGTGGAAACAATTGAGCTTTAACCATTTTTTTTTTTTACATAGGCTGGGCTCGAGCAAGGGTGGGCTACAACCCACCCCTATCTCCGCCAATGACTATTAGGGTGTGGAAATGCATGTCAAAGTTGTCAAATGTACGTCAATACAAACTGAACAAAGTGGAGGAGCATCTCCAGGTTTATGTAACTTATTATCTTGAAAGGTAACCATCAATAAACTAGGGTAGCAACTCACAGATAGTCATTTAGAGAGGTCTACAACTTTACAATTGTTAAGATTTGGGATTCCATTTTAAATGCTCAACTTTGTTAAACGGAATAGTCCAAACTCTTATAAATTGTCTATATTTTCATTATTATTAGATGTGAGATTTTATCCCTTAACATGTACCCACAAGATGGTGTCTCAAATAAGCAAACCAATTTTAAAATTCGTGTACTTATTTTTTTAGTCTTGATCGGATTAAATTGTTCGTTGGAATTTAATGAGCTCTGATATCAAGATAAGACTTGGGATTCCATCTTAAAAGGTCAACCTTGTTAAGAGGTGTAGCTCAAACTCTTATAAATTAGTCCATATTTTCATTGTTATTAGTTGTGAGATTTTATCCCTTAACAACAATCACCTATTCACTGAATCTTCTTAAGAGTATTGACTTAAGTATAACTAGAAAATGACACGAAAAGCTTTCGGAACCAAATCCATTGGCTTCTGTGTTGAGCCATTACAGCATAAGTCTTATCGGGATCTTCATTGAGCAAGCATTGTAACTGTCTATTTTTAAAAAAAACTAGGCAAACAACTTGGATAACTAGATATCGGTCGATACTCACAAGCTCCTAGGATTCGAGAGGTCTTTCTAAAAAATCATGCAACATCTTTTGTACACCTCGATGCACGTCATAGTGGTTACAATGACCAGAGACACCATAGTCATCAAATGTAACGATTGAGTTAATATCCTGGGCACGAATTTCATCCTCAATAAATCCTACCATTAGATTCCAATCCTATACTTTACCAAAACCATCCTGCAAATCTGGATGGTCCAGATTCTTCACTTGTCGGTGAGGAATCTTGAGTATTGTGGAGGCCACGGAAAAAAGAATGGATACGAATACTAAAAGATCAAATGATACATAAGGTGTAGCATATTAAAGAAAGAATTCACTTAAAAGAAATGAAGTCGAGATATAACAACAACTTCGTCTTTAGAGATCACCTCACTCGCTAATCTAATATATCCTATTCTAAACTATTAGGGTGTGGAAACGCATGTCAAAGTTGTCAAATGTACGTAATTACAAACTGAACAAAGTGGATGAGCATCTCTAGGTTTATATAGCTTATTATCTTGAAAGATAACCATCAATCAACGAGGGTAGCAACTCATAGATAATTGTTTAGAGAGGTCTGCAACCTTACAATTGTTAAGATTTGAGATTCCATCTTAAAATGTCAACTTTGTTAAGAGAATTAATCCAAACTTTTATAAATTAGTTTATATTTTCATTTTTATTAGATATGAAATTTTATCTCTTAACATGCCCCAACAATATGGTAGCTTGTTTAAACAAACCAATTTTGAAACTCGCATACTTATTTTTTTAGTCTTAATTGGATCGAAATGCTCGTTGAAGTTTAATGAGTTCTGATATCACGATAAGACTTGAGATTCATCTTAAAAGACCAACCATGTTAAGATGAGTGATCCAAACTCTTATAAATTAGTCTATATTTTCATTGTTATTAGTTGTGAGATTTTATCTCTTAACAGCAATCACCTATTCATTGAATCCTCTTAAAAGTGTTGACACAAGTATAACTAGAAAATGACACGAAAAGCTTTCGGAGCCAAATCCGTTGGCTTCTGTGTTGAGCTATTGCAGCATAATTCTTGCTAGGATCTTCATTGAGCAAGCATTGTAACTATTTATTTTTTAAAAAAACCAGGCAAATAACTTGGATAACCAGATATCAATCAGTCCAATGTACTTGCGGAATATGCTCGTACTCACAAGCTCCCAGGATTCGAGAGGTCTTTCTGAAAAATCCTGCAACAGCTTTTGTATACCTTGATGCACGTCACAGTGGTTACAATGACCAAAGATACCGTGATTGAGTTAATATCAAGGGCACGGATTTCATCCTCAATAAATCCTGCCATTAGATTCCAATCCTGTACCTTACCAAAACCATCCTGCAAATCTGGATGTCCAGATTCTTCACTTGCCGGTGAGGAATCTTGAGTATTGTGGAGGCCAGAAAGAGTTCTTCTTTTCTAATGCTACCCATCACATCTGCATCGCCAGTTGACAAGCATAGTATGTAAAGATTATGTCCCCTCGAAGTCAGGTAATTAATGGCTGGAGTAAAGAACGTGGACTCGTCATCAGGATGTTTAATAATCGGTAAAATGTTTCTCCTTTCAAAAACCCTTCCATCATTTAAGAATGCAGCTTTGGTGTCATGGGAGGATCCACGAAAACTTTTGCAAAGAGAAGCGACCCAACGTACAATCAATGATACAATGATAATTAGCTATTCCATGTAGAACTCTGGACCAGGAAATTGCTCGATTGATCTTACTCCAGGCAAATAAAAATGGCGAGCCTGCCCTATCGCCTGCTGGATTGTTTGAGATTAACTGGAAGAAAAAAGACGAAGAGGTGATTGATTAGGGGAGGAAGATGGGATCAATTTGGGAGAGATTGGATAGTGCTGGCTAAAAATCGACTGGGAATCACATTCTCAATTATGTCCAAGTTAAATAAATCTGATGTAGCAATTAAGAGATGAAATCTTGAATTTTATCTCACACACTGACCACCATTAAGAGTGCGTTTGATTACAAGTATGAAACTTGCATAGGAAGAAAATCTTTTCTATGTAATTCAACTCCATATAAATTATTTGCATGGAAATTGTTAATTATACATGTTTGATTGACTTAATTTTCAACTTAGAAAATATTGTATTTTTCCATCTTCTGGTATTTAATAGTCATTATTTTCTATAGAAATAGTCATTTTTTCCAACTTTAGTTGTTTGATAGTTATTATTTTCCATTAAATTGTCACTTTTTTCATGAAAATTAATCAGTGAATTTTCCGTCACAAAATCCTATTTAGTGAAGTGAACCAGTGTCATCTTTTTACTGTGATCTGAATGTCAACAATTTAATTAATTTTATGAATGTACCTTAATAACTACATTATATTAACACTATTATGCAAGAACAATATTCTGCTTTATCATCTGTCCAACATACAAAAGAATTTAAATTGTTTCCTATGATAACTTGAATTAGTACTCATAGAGACCTGGCTAAAATTGTAGTGGCTGCATTCTATGAAATCTGATAAAAAAATGAATTCATAACTTTCTAAGTTAGGGATCTGCGATTCGTATATAGATATATTTTTGTTTATATTGTTCTTTTCTTTAAGAAAACTCTCGAACATCAATCAGATCGTCGAACCACAGGATACAACCACTACTGCCTTTACGAATATCTGAATTGGCGTAAGCTATGCAAGACCAGTTCTTCAAGCATTCTGCCCAACATTGTTTTAGATGCGTGCTCTTCTTTAGTGAAAACTGAAGGAGATCTAGCAATTGCACACCTCCAAGCTTTAAAAATTTAATGGGATCCTGCAGGCAACTCAATGGAGTCATCCTCACACATCCACCAAACCAGTCAAGTACATCATATTCACTTTGTGATCCGTATAAGCACTCACAAATTGTTCTAGTTACAAGAAACAAATGTGACTTGTAAAGACATTGTAAATTCCCCAAATCCAAAATAATCAAGGCATACCTTTGAACCTGCACTAGAGAGGTGTGAATACTCTATTGGAAATTAATTCCAATTTCGGGGCAGTGTTTTGACTTAGTATTTTTTTATTGTGTTTATTGCTATTGTTTATAAAATGAGTTGGACTTTTTTGTTCTAGATTTGAAGTTGATCTGGTATATACGAATCATGCCCACTAAGTGTTTATTATTATGTGTCAAAGAGTCTCGTAGAAATATTAGGGAGTAGTGGTCACGCGTTTGTAATACCAAGTGCTGATTGTCTATTTAATCACTTGAAGTCCTGAAATAGAGGGAATCATTAGTCAATTAAAAGGGGTTTCTTCATGATATTTGATATATATTGGAGAATTTGTAAATTATAGGAGGTCATTTTAGTCTTTTTCATTCCTTTCATTTTCTATATATATTGTATAGCTTCAGTTTGTTTAATTCAATTTTGGGATCAACAGAATTTCCCTCCATTTTTGCCTTTTTCTCTATCTCTATCTCTTTCACTTTTTGCATGGTATCAGAGCAGTGAAGCTTTGATGCGATGGCATCACAAGGATCTTCAATTGGAGATTTGATCAGAGGGGAAGCTAATTCCAGATAGTCCCTATTATCTTCATTGTGGTGATAACACTGGTATGCAGCTCATATCAGTGATCCTTACAGAGGACAATTATGCGACATGGAGTCGCGCTGTTGTTATGGCTCTTAGTGTGAAGAATAAAGAATGATTCATTGATGGAACTATAACTGAACCGAGCACTGATGATCTTATGTATAGCGCCTAGATGAGAGCAATCATGTAGTCTTACAGTGGATAATTAATTCTATCCCCAAGGAGCTCTATCCAAGTGTAATGCACAAGAATTGAACTAGAGAGATATGGATTGAATTGAAGAATCGTTATAGTCAAGGTAATGGCCCTATGGGATGGTAAAAGAACCCGACAAACCCAATACCCGCGGGGTCCCACCCAGAATGGGGCGAGGATAACCCACTTAATCAGGTATTCGGGGTGGGGACGGGGCAAGAAATTTTGTCCCGGGGTGGGTTCAGGTAACGGCACCAGTTAAATTTTTTTTTTTTTTTTTAGAATTCAATACGTTAAATGAAAATTTTCACAAAATTTCATTAGTTCTAATAGAAAATAGCAACTAAAATTATTTGTCTAAATCTAGGGTATGTTCAGTAGAGATTAAAATCGGATTAAAATTGAAAAACTAACCGTTATTGTTGACTTTTATTAGACGAGTGAGATCTAATAACGGCTATATTTTCAATTTTAATTGGAAACAAACAGGCTCCTAATAAATATGGGCAATAAAAATAAATTATCAAAAACAAAAAAAAAATTAGACGGGTAGTAAACGGGGCAAGGACCATGCCCTGCCCACGCCCGGACACCACCTTAAATGGGTAACGGGGCGGGGGCCCCTTCCCCGTCGCCTCCCTGTTGCCATCCCTATGGTCCTATGATTTATGAATTGTTGGAGGAGCTTGATACATATAGAACGAATATCAGTAGATCTGATTACAAGCAGGAAGATCAAGTTATGCAATTCCTAATGGGGCTAGATGAACATTATTCTGCAGTTAGAAGTCAGATCCTGTTGATGGATCATCTTCCTTTACTTAACAAGGTTTTTGCGCTTATTTTGCAAGATGAAAGACTATAGGAAGTTACTAAAAGGCAACAAAGCTTTAAGGCACCTGCATTTGCTAATAATGATAAAGATCTAATAGAACTCAGAACAATGTTAGATTCATTCAGAATCAGAGAAAGGTGAGCCCTATTTGTAGTTATTGTGGGACGCTTAGACATATTAAAACAAAATGCTACAAGCTTGTTGGATATCCCCTGGACATCATTAGCTAGAAGCAAAATTGTTGTTGCTAATGCTGTTGGACGGTCTTTTGAAGGTAATTAGCTTGGTATTATGGAATCCTTCTCGAACCTCACTATTACTCCAGATCAGTGTAAGCAAGTTCTGGCAATGTTGATGCTCCAGCTAAAGAGGCAAATGCCTTATACTACTCGAACACAGACACAATCACAACTCCAGGACACATTATCCACTAGTTATTTTGTGCCGATGCCTTTGCCTTTTCAGGTAATCACTCTCATTCTAATACTAAACTAGGCGCAACAAAATGGATTATGGATGCTGGTGCTTCAGAGCATATGGTATGTTCTATTTGGCATCTAACCACGATATCTTATAAAGTTAAAATAGCTACTAAGTTGCCTAATGGAGGCTATACATATGGAATAGTCAAATTGTCTGATGCATTGGTTTTAACAGAAGTGTTGGTGGTGCCTTGCTTCAAATTCAATTTGATTTCAGCTAGCAGATTGACTCTTAAGCATAATTGCTTCTTGATATTTTTACATCAATATTGTTTTTCAAACTTGAAGATGGACTATATGCTTTCCAAAATCCTGCTTAGCAACTTCATGACAAACCTGATTTCCAAAATTATGATTTTCAGTCCATCGTTATTTCTGATAATAACATTTTTGTTTTTCCTAATGCCAATTGCAAGTCTGATCTCAATCTACTATGTAATGAAGCGAGGCATTCTGTTTGTAATTCCATAAGCAATTTCAATGTAAAGACTGATATAGACCTATGGCATTGCCGCATGGGCATCTCCCTATTTCCAAACTATCTGTTTTACATGATTTGGTTCCTACCATTTCATTCAATAAACAATTACATTGCACTATTTATCCAACAACCAAACAACATAAGCTACCTTTTCTTGTTAGTGAAACTAGAGCATCCAAAAGATTTGATATAATCCATTGTGACATATGGGGACCATATTCAATCTCCTCATTGGATGTCTCTGATACTTCTTAACCATTGTTGATGATCATACTAGAATGACTTGGACTTACCTAATGAGAGAAAAATCTCAAACTAAATCCATCATTCACTCCTTCTATCATTTGATTCAAACTCAGTTTGACTACAAAATAAAAGTTCTCAGGTCTGATAATGGATCTGAATTCCATATGAGTAATTTTTTCCAGTCTAATGGCATTCTTCACCACTCAGTTGTGTTGAAACACCTCAGCAAAATGGAGTGGTGGAGAGAAAACACCAATGCATTCTAAACGTTGCTAGAGCTATCAAGTTCCAAGCTAATTTGCCTCACAAGTTTTGGTGAGAAACCATCCTTGCAGCAACACATTTAATCAACAGAACTCCTACTCTTGTCCTTCATAATAAGACACGTTATAAAATGCTTCATCAAACAACATCACCATATTCTCATCTCAAGGTATTTGGATGCCTTTGTTATTCAAGCCTCAAAAGAAAATGTACCAAATTTGATCCTTGAGTTGTGCCATGTATCTTTATTGGTTACCCCTATGGCATAAAAGCTTTTAAATGGTATAATCTGGACAACCACTATGTCTTTGCCTTTAGAGATGTTAAATTTCATGAAAATATTTTTTCCGTTTCATCATCCCGAATTCCTTGCCTCTTTGTCAAAATCTAATATTTGCTTGCCCTTTGATTCATCTCTTTTCCCAGTCCAAAGTAATGATTCATCACCTAATATCTCAATTCCAAATTTTGGTACTAGCACAATCTCTGTAGATGTTAACTCTCCTATCAGTTCTGTTCCAAATTTTTCTGATTCTCCTTAAATAGATACTCATGGGTCAACTTCAATACCTATCCTCACTCAACTCCTGATGTGCCCATCAGACAATCTAACAGACCTAAAAGAGCCCCAACCTATCTTCAAGATTATCACTGCAGCCTTGCATCTCAAGTACCTACTTTACAATCAAAATCCATGGTGAAAGGTCAACTATCTAGCAAGCAATATCCTATAGCTGAGTATCTGGATTATGGCATATTATCCCTTGCTTACAAGAGGTATTCACTTGCTTTATCTACTATGTACGAGCCCAGATCATATGAAGAGGCTGCTAAGTATCCAGAATGGCATACAACCATGGAGAATGAGTATGAGGCATTGGTTTCGAGAAGCACTTGGACTATCACTCCCCCTTCACAATAAAGGCCTGTGGCTTGCAAATGGGTTTTCAAAGTTAAACTAAATTCTGATGGAACTGAGGAAAGGAAGAAAGCTAGAGTTGTTGCAAAAGGATTCACACAACAAGCTGGACTTGATTATGAAGAACCCTTTTCCCTTGTAGCTAAGCTGGTAATTGTGAAGACTTTGTTAGCTGTTGCTACTCATCAATGTTGGCATTTCCATCAATTAGACATCAATAACGCTTTCCTCCACGGTGAACTTGATGAGGAGGTTTATTTGTGGATGCCTAATGGTTATGAGCAGTAGGGGGAGTGGGGAACAACTATGCAGGTTAAATAAGTCCATTTATGGACTTAAACAGACATCTCGACGGTGGAACACTAAACTCACTTTATACATTGTTTCATAAGGATTTAGACAGTCAAAATCTGACTACTCTTTGTTTAGCAAACAAGAAAAAGGATCATTCACTACTTTGCTTATCTATGTGGATGATCTTATCATAGGCGAAAATGGCTTGACATTCATTGAGTAATTCTAGAAAGAATTGAATGATCAATTCAAATTAAAAGATTTGGGGGGGTTTTGAAGTATTTTCTGGGGCATGAGATAGCCAGAACATTAAGAGGGATATCAGTGAATCAAAGGAAGGATGCCTTAGACGTGTTGATAGATGCGGGATACCTTGGTGCCAAGCCTGCCAAGTTTCCTTTACTACATAATTTGAAGCTAAGTAATGATCAAGGAGAACTGGTTGAAGATCCTAGTGCATATAGGAGATTGATAGGAAGAATCCTATACTTGACTATAACCAGACTATATTTATCGTATGTTGTACATGTACTTAG